CCCCCCGCTTTCACCCCTTTTTACATTTTCCCCCCCCCCCCCTCCTCCTTCCTCACAGGAAACTTGATGCCTTTATTTACGATGCTGCCGTTTTGAACTACATGGCCAGAAAAGACGAAGGCTGTAAGGTGAGAAGACAAAATCAGACCATGGGTTGAAATGTTGGTCCAGTCCGTCTTGTTTGGTCCACTTTGGTCCACTCAGAGCCTTTGTGTTCTTTTGTCGTATGATTTGCTCTAAAGCAGCTTTTCATGTTAGTTCAGTGTTATCTTTGGTTCATTTAGGACATCCGTCACTTCATGTCTGTATTATTTTCCTGTTGTAATGCGTGTGTGTGTGTGCGTACACATGTGTTTCCTCTCTGTAGGTGATGACCATTGGTTCTGGTAAAGTTTTTGCCACTACCGGTTATGGAATTGCTCTCCATAAAAACTCCCGTTGGAAGCGTCCCCTGGACCTGGCTCTCCTGCAACTGGTAGGAGATGGTAAGTCCAGTAGTGTGTCCTAGCTTCTTCCGGGTTCCCTTGCTCTGCTCTACTTTTGTCAGCTCAGACAGACTGATCACATGATCTTTCCCATCATCTTCACAACCCTCTTATATTTCTGTGGCTCTTCCTGTCTCCCACTCACCTTCCTTCTCACTTTGCTCTCTGTTTCCTCCACCCTCCCCCACCTTTAACTGCGAACTTAACACCTCCTGTCTTTTTCTTCTTCTCCTGCTGTGATTTAATTTTCTCTCACCTTCTGTCTTTGTCTTTAACCCTCCCACTTCCTCCTACTCCTCCCTCCCTCCCTATGTCTCGTGATTTTCATTGCAGATGAGATTGACATGTTAGAGCGCCTTTGGCTGTCAGGAATCTGCCACAACGATAAGATTGAGGTACAATTCCTTACACAAATTTTTTTTCTTTATTTCCAGTGTGTATTATTCACAGTAGAACACAAACTGTCGTCTTCTAAGTGTTTTATGGGAGTCACTTCCTGCCGAACCACACAGATTCATCAGTCTGGCATCAAACACTTCCTGCTCTGAGTAACTGATGTCCATTCTTTCTTCCCGTCACAGTTCAAGATTTGTTGCATCACTCATAAATATCCTCCTGTCTCTTCTGTCCTCCTCTCTGTCCACCTGTCTCTTCTGTCCTCCCGTCTCTTCTGTGTCCTTCTCTCATTTGTCTGCTCTCTGTCCTCCCGTCTCCTCTCTGTTCTCCTCTCATTTGTTTGCTCCTCCCGTTCTTTCTCCTCCTGACCTCTCAGGTGATGAGCAGCAAGCTGGACATTGACAACATGGCTGGTGTCTTCTACATGCTGCTGGTGGCCATGGGCCTCAGTCTTCTGGTTTTTGCCTGGGAACATCTCATCTACTGGAAGCTGCGTCACTGTGTGAAGAAATCTGGACGAATGGACTTCCTGCTGGCTCTGAGCCGAGTGAGTCCTCACCAACACAGTTCCAAAGAGTGCTAGGATTCTGAAGGAAACTTTTTAAACGAATCTGTGTGAATCAGGGAAAAAGTTCCTGCTGTGAAGAAGTGTGCTAGTACTTCTATTTAGTTCCAGGTCCATAGTGGGGGACCACAGTTCAAGTGAACTTAACGCTATTGCATACGTGGTACATTAGATAGAAAAAGAGGCGTAGCAACAGCTCTGTGTATAAAGTGATAGGATTAATTTAAGATGACAAAAAATGTGCAAAACAGTTTTCATAGGGTCCTGATGTATTTGAGGTTACTTGAAAGTGGTGAGGAGGGTCTATTTCAGATCAGGCATGGTGGGTGGGTCGATGTCTCTATTTGTGCCTGAGTAAGAGTGACATTGGGGTCTGGGGTGGGTGCAGGGTATGACATTGGGAGGAGCATGGGTTTCAGTGTGTATGGGTACAGTTCATTATGTTGGCGCTAGTTCCTTCTACTGTTGAACTAATAGATATACATAAAATAGAATAATCTTTATTGTAATTGTCCTGGGGGATACAACAAAATTGACTTTGACTGTGGACTTTAGTCTGAGCTAAAATCTCTGATTTTCTCCATGGACTTTAGTCTGAGCTAAAATCTCTGATTTTCTCCATGGACTTTAGTCTGAGCTAAAATCTCTGATTTTCTCCATGGACTTTAGTCTGAGCTAAAATCTCTGATTTTCTCCATGGACTTTAGTCTGAGCTAAAATCTCTGATTTTCTCCATGGACTTTAGTCTGAGCTAAAATCTCTGATTTTCTCCATGGACTTT